AAGGCTCTGGGGGTCCCGGCCCCAGCACTGCCTGCCCAGCCAAGGGAAGGGGGGATGCTGGGAGGTGGCATCACCACTGGCCTGGTGAGGTACCAGAGGGAGGATGATGCAGCTGAGCGTCTCCAAATGGTGGAGTTTTAGGAGATGAGTGGAGCTCCTAGACATGTCTCTCTGGGAGCTGGTTGAAGATGCAAAGCCATGGGCTCTTATGCCTCTTTTTGGGGATGGCTCTGTGGGGGTGAAGTCTTGGGAGCAGGCAGATACTCCTGCACCCCTAGATGAATGATGTTTTGGGTGAGTACAGCCAAAGGCAGACTTGAGCATTGTGTGTCTCTTGGTCCCAGAGAACACTGAGCTCATCAGCTGGAGTAAAGGGACAGGAAGCAGGGACACAAGGGTTTTTAAGACAGAAGGAAGAGTCTCCTTGGAAAGGGCTCTGCCAGTGACAGCCCTCAATATCTTTGCAGGGCCTCGGAGGAAGCATTCCTGAAGGAGTCCAAGGAGGAGACCCCAGGCTCTGAGTGGGAGAAGGTGGCCCAGCTGTGTGACTTCAACCCCAAGAGCAGCAAGCAGAGCAAGGATGTCTCGCGGATGCGCTCGGTGCTCATCTCCCTCAAACAGACGCCCCTGTCCCGTTAGCTGTGCCTGGCACAGCCGGGGGCACAGCGGGCATGGCTGGGCTCACTGAGCCAGGAGGCTTCAGGGGCTGGCCCAGGAAGGGCCTCCCACCCCCTGCTCCGTGATCTGCGCCTCGGCTGTGCTCGAGTCACTGGTTGTATTACTCTCCCCATGGTTTTCCTTTGCTTAAAAGGTGCATTGGTCTCTTTTTACACTTATTTATAAATCACTGTGGCATTTCCCCGGGAAGCGGCACTGGGTGGCAGAGCTGAGTTAGTGGGGAAGCCCCAGCCCAGGCTCTTCAGGAGTTTATGTCTGAGGGCCTGGCTAAATGAGCAGAAAATATCCCATCTTGTGTTCCCCACTTCAGCCCTGTGCTGGGAATAAACCTGCCTGTAGCTGTCCTGGCAGCCCCATGTATAGGCTTCAGTCCTGATCCCAGTGGGATCCCGGGCTGCTGTCTGCCTTTCCCATGGGATTTAGAGCAGAGCTGGAGCAGGGTTGGGAGGGTGGAGAAACAGCCCTGGCTTGTCTCCACACTGCTGGGTCCTGCAGGGAGCGTGGCTGCAGCACTGCCAGACTGGCAGGGACTGAGGAGTGTGAGTACAGGTGCCCAGGTTGGGCCTGGACTGCCAGTGGCTGCTCCAAGCCCAGCAGAACTCTGCCCAGCCTGGCTGTGCCTCGAAAAGTTGGTGCAGCTCCAGTGTCCATGTCCCATCCATCCTGCAGTGCTGGCAGCACAGTGGTGTGGGCCACTGGGAAGGGACTGTGGGGGGAGTGTGCAGGGTGTTTCCTCTCCTTCCCCTATGAACACCAGCAGCTGGGAATGTGGGATCCCGGGCTTTGGGGACCCCTGGTTTTGCTCTGCACCTTCCCTTGCTACCAGAATGGGAGGGGGAGGCTGTGTAGTTGCAGGGAAGGAGGTAGGAAGGTCCAGCTGCTTGTGGGGCAGGTCAAACCTCCATCTTCCTAACCCAGGGGCCCAGAGCAGGGTTGGCAGAGTTCTGGTGCTGGGGCTTGTACTGGCCCTGGGAACAACCTGCACATCTGTCTGCAGTTGCTCTGCCCCCTGGCTTTGCCCACCTAAGGCAGTGTGGGGAGATGCCTCAGTCCTGCTCCCTGCTCGAGCTTTTCCTCCTCTGCTTGGCAGGGATGGCACCAGTCCTGGGAACCTGCACAACTCCTGGGCAGCAGGAGAGGGACAGCCTTGAGCTGGTGCTCTGGGTCTGGCCTGTTGAGGGCTAGGGAAGGGCTTGCAGCAGCTTGGCAGGACGTAGAGCAGAGCCCACAAAACATTCACTTGAGCCCCTCTGCAGAGCCCTGCTCAGCTGGAAATCAAGTGTGCAGAGCTCTCCTGCCCTGCAGCTGTGGCTCCAGGGCCAGAATGTCACCAGTCCTGCTGCTGCAGCTGTGGGGGTGCCTGGGCACCCAGGGCTCTGGGGCATGATCTCACCAGTGGGCTGGGAAGGTAAATGGGTGTGTAAGGAATTGCTGTTGTGTGTTGGGACTGTGCCCCCTGCCCATAGGGCTGATCATTCCTGCTCGGCCCCCTGAGCTCCAGCATGCGTAGGCAGCTCTGCTGTGCTGCACGACACCTGGGGACTCGGCTCCTGCCTCAGCCTTGCATTGCAGAGCAGCAGGAAGCACCCCTGGCTACTTGTGGGGGACACTGTGCCCCCTGTGCTCTGTCCCTCCAGCCCTGCAGGCAGCTGGGCCCCTGGGTGCCCCAGCTGCCATGAGCTCCGTGTCAGGCCGGGGCAGCTCTCGGGGAGCCGTGCCCACAGCTGTTCTACATCCCCTCGGCTTTGGTATCTGTGACTGTCCAAATTACCTGTTACAATAAACCAACATCTCCAATCCTACAGGGCACTGTTGTATTTCTGCATTAGGGATGCACGCTGTGTTTAGGAGAACCTACAGCCATGTGGAAAGGATGGGGCTGGAAGAGGAATATCCTACAGGTAAAAAAAAGGAGTGAGAGGAAGGCTGGAGGGTTTGTGCTTGGATGGGGCCAAAGCAGTGGCAGCAGGACCCAGGCTGCCCATCCCCAAGGAACTCTATCTCTATCCCCAAGGAACTGCAAGCTCTGGCTTGTCCAAACTGGCTGAGCTGCTCCCTGTCTACTGCACCTTTCTCCAGCTGCCAAGGGATTGTGCTCATGGATCTGCCCACCTGCTGCTCTTCACACCCTGCCCCAAGCTGGCTGGGCTGGAGGTGCCAGTGGGGCAGGCAGAAGCAGTTTCCTCTGGGAAGGATGTCCTGTGCAGGCAGCTGTAGAGAGAAGAGAGGCCCTGGGCTCCCTATGCCAAGGTGGAGCTCACCCTGCTCAGCACTGGTGATGGCTTGTTGCCCACCCTCACAACTCAGAGATCGGCTCTGGTGAGCAAGAGCCTTCCCTCTCTCCTTGCCAAAGCCACCAGCACAATTCCCTGGACAGGACAATCCACGTCCTTGTTCACAGACAGAGGTTCACCCCTGAGCCCATCGTTATAGGGACTCAGGGCACAGGCACCAACTCACAGAACACCTGGAAGCAGCCCAGGCTGCTGACGGAGGTGTTTCAGCACAGGCAGAGGTGTCTGTGCCCCTTCCCCTGCAGGTGTGAGCTGCTGCAGCCACAGAGCAATGAACAGAGACCCTGGCCCCACGTCCTCCCAGCTCTGGCCCTGGCATGGGAGAGCAAAGCCTCGTGGATCACCAAAGCCCTGGTAAGATCCAAAGCCAACAGTGGGACCACGTTTGTCAGGATACAGACAGGACAGGTCCCCTGGAGAAGGAGGTGTTGCTGACTCCCCAGCAAGAAGAGCCAAAGCAGCAGCACATCCCAGAGAACACAGCCAGACCTCATTTCAGAAATGTGAGTTCCCCGCTTGTTTTCACAGGGAGTTTCATGTCTTGTTTCTTGCATCAGCACAGCTTCAAGACAGCCATGCCCACTCCTTTTTCTCCCTGCACTGTTTACTGTTACAGCTTCTCAGTGCTCTGCAATCCAGTATCAGTCAGAATCTTGCTGCAATTCACTTTATTACTCACCAGTTTTAATTACACAGCTCACACAACCTCCTAAACTGCCTCCCCCGCTGCATAGGGACTTTGTCCTGCCAGGACCAAGCCATAAGCAGTAATTCCTTTCTCATGGGCGCTCATTTCTCAAATGCTGGTCACTGCCTGACTACAACCACGCCTCAGAGCATGACCGAGAAGACACAATTTTATCAGCCTGTGACAGCATCAAGCAGGAACAAGAAGTCTGACAGGGTGACATGCAGCCTCAGTGCTGCAGGAGAGCTCTTGGGGAAACAAAAAAAAAAAGCGCCACAGCCTAAATTACATGTTAATCACAGAGTGTATTCACCCCATTTCCAGTGCTCCAGAACTGGCTGTACCGAGACATCACAACAGCCTCAGAAAACTCCATCCCCAGCCAGGGCTGCTGGTAGACACTTGCCCGTGGCCGCCGCTTCGCTCTTGTCGATGTCACTGTCGGGATTTGAAGGCCGTGGCCGCCATGCCCCCCAGCAGCGCGGCGAAGGTGCAGCCCTGGGCTATGACACGCGCCCGCATCATCAGCTGGGAGCGCCGAGTGTTGCCTTTCTTGAAGCAGATGATTCCGTAGACCAGGACACTGACGGTGCACAGACAGCCTGCGGGGAAGGA